CACCCCCCCCCCCGGGGGGGGGGGGGGGGGGGGGGGGGGCTAGACCCAATGAGCTCATGGGTGCATCCAGACGAGTGCGTGCGTGCCTCTTGTCCCGCCTCAAACCCCTTTGAGGTGGGGCAAGAGGCATATGCAGGAATGAAAATATGTTCCCTGTGCTGCAAACTTGCAGCGTGGGGAGAAAATTAGACCCCTGGATATCCCGGAACAGCTGGAATGGATACTGCGGGTAGTGCAGTCTGGTCAGTGTGGGCATTGCAGGATGTGTGGCTTCTGAAGAAGCTGAAGCAGATGCCATGGTCACTAGATCCAGCATAAAAGAGTGGAAAGAGAGGGTCTAGGGTCTGTAAACCCATTGGCCAGATTAATTTGACACCCCTGTTTTAACAGAAACTGCAAAGAAAATAAAATACATCACGGAACAATGTGAAGTCTTAAAGTTTGTTTCTACTCCAACTAAAGTCAATGACAGAAATGTCTATGATTCTCTTTGAGCTATCCCAGGTAGTGCTGAACCTGTAGCGTATGTCTAAACCATGTCCCCAGCACTCTTGAAGAAGGCTACTCTTAAGCACACCACACCCATTCACTGCCACTCACACCAAATCTAGAAATATAAGGAAGATGATTCAGGGTGTCCTCCACAGCCACTCCCAAACACATGGGAAACAGAGGTCTTGAGAAAGCCCATGACATTTCTGAGTTAGGTATATACAAACAAGAGTAGATGGACAAAGCATTATTGAAAGCATACCTTTCTGAGAGGGTCATGCAAGCAATATAGCCACACCCTTAGTACCCTGAACTTGCTCACTAAATACAACATAGTTTCAATCAGCACCTAATCTTCAGGAATGGTGACATTTTCAGGGTTGGTTTAGTCACAAAAACCAAATGAAACAGAAGGAAATGCTTACTTGTTCAGCATTCTTGCTATACCAAAGTCCCCAAGCTTTGCTATCATTCCATTATTGCTAAGAAAAATGTTCTGCAAGCAAAGAAAAAATGATGTGCTATAATGAAACATGGAAGAATTTCACAGGCATGCATTTTTGAAAGCATAAAATGAAAACCTGTAACTCCTACCTGTGCTTTTACATCTCGGTGTAAAACCTTTCTGTCATGAATATGCTTCAATCCTAAGGAGACCTGCACAAACCAACTCAGAATCTAGGGTAAGAGATAAAATGCACAGTTACATTGTCGTATTAAAAACATAAAACAAAAACAAAAGTCAAACCTAAAATACACACTTCACATCCACAAATCAAGGGGGGAAAAGTTTACAGAATTTTGAGTAATTAAACTAATCAGTTTTCCATTGTTTTAACATTTTTAGAAAATAAATGGAAATAAATACATAATCTTACATTCCTTATCTCAGAAAAAACTTCTATGGACTGCAATGGGAGTTCTGCCTGAGTAACAACTATACAATCAGTCCCTAAACAGGAAAAGAAGATCAGCCTTTTACTTTACACAACTGGAAAGGAACTGTGTAGTCCTCTTCACTGATGGAAGCCATAAAAGTACTATACAGCTTTGAAAGTATTTACAGACTTCAGTTTAGATCAGAAATGTGGTTAAATAACAGAATTGTAAAAGGAAACTGCATGGCAACTGCACGCACTATCCCTGACTTAAACAAGGGCTATTAAACCTTCACCCTGGCCCTGATCCAGGAAACAGTTAAGCATGTGCAAATCTGTACTTTCTTTGACATGGATTTTTGGCCCTATTTTAGAGATGCAGATCACCATGTGCTTAAATTAATCTCTATTTAGTAAAGCACATGCTTAATTTTAAGCACATGTTCAAGGGCCACTGACTTTGTGAAGTTTTGTGAGAAGCTGGTGGCCATGAAATTCTGCAATTCAGAAATCTGTCTTCAGAAAAGCAGGCTAGCACCCGCACACATTTAAATTAAATAGTGGTTAAGCAACAGGCAAGGATTTCTCTGAGTAATGTATTTTATTGGATCAACTGCACAGTTGGGACAGAGTTAGACAAGCTTTTGACTACAAGACATTCTTCTTCAGAGGTTAAGGGCTTCTCTGAATAGGACTGATTTTCTGATTGGCCTTTCTATGAACATTACATTCAAACATAAATTTCAAGATAAGTAAATGTACTATTGGGATGAAATGTAATTGGTTAACCTGCTTCCCTTGCTTGGCTTTGGGATGTGTCACTTGGGTTTGCTCACCCTTTTTCCGTCTCTGCTTTCTTTGACTTCCTTCTGACATTCAAGTTTCTTGTTAGTTTGGTTCTATTTTTATTTTTGCTGTCAGGACTTTTTTATTTTTATTGGTTTGTATTTTTCTGATTTGTGAATTTGTCCTCTATTATAAATTTTACTCTCTCCCTTGTGTCTCTAGTAAGTGGCTGAACCAGAGGGTCATAAAGTCCTATGTTACTAAACCATCAAGTTGCTTCTAACTGTTTCCCATGCAGCAGGTTCCTTCGTTTAAAAAAAGTTAAGAGATTTATATGGTTGATTTAAATATTAGTTTCAGGATGAATTGAGAATCACATTTTCAAGCCATTTTAACTTTCATCCGTTTTTGTGCAGATACAGTTTTATAAGTGCAACAACAGTTTAGATCATAAAATATCCAAGTTCTCAAATGCATCTGCGAAAACAGAGATCAATGTCCGAATACCTGACGTGTTCTGTATTTAAGTCCAAGATGCCAGTATATTAGAGAGTTTCTGTCAGTTAAAATAGGGATGTATTTTACTGAATTAATCTATGCTGATACAGGCTCTGAAGGCTGCCAGCACCCTGGGATTGTTTTTGTGTGTTGGCTTAATTCACAATCCTGTTTACTTCTCACCTGCCATCTCAAATGCAGCTTCTAATCTAAAAGGTCTTTTCTCCAAAACTTAACTGAAAATTAGTAGTATGAAGGTACCCAATTTCCAAAGTAGGACAAGAAATAAAAATCAGTGGTCAAAGTACAGTTAATATTTCACTTTTAGGCCATTAAACATTGTTGAGCATCTTCTGTAAAACAATTACAAAGCCTTATCTACATAGACCTTGTGACTGTAACACTTAAAAGCAAGTTACTACATATTCCTATTAAGTAGTACTTCATACTATTTATTTTATGGTACAAATCCTTTCCTCTAAAAATAACCCACTTTACCTGGTCCTCATCAAACAGCACTCCATGCTGCAGATTTATCCTCTTCATTAGATCACCTCCATCACAATATTCCATGATGATATACAGATTGCTCCTTTCTGCAAGTAAAAATGCTAGTTCTGTATTTTCCCACAATTATTCCATTATTTATAGATTCAGCAACTATTTTTGTTACAGCTAATGCTATTTTGACTAAATTACCTTAGCTTCTGATCCTCTATCTTGCTCAAGATGATCATGCCTATCCATCATAGTGTCAGAATGAATTTTTCCCTCAGCAATGGTGGAGAAAACATACTGTATCAGTGTCCCCACCATCCTAGCATGTCCAATGTTTCAGAACCAAAGATAAAGGTTATACTGGTTTCAAATAGTAAACTATTCTGTCTTTGGGCCCACAGAGTCATACCCACAAAACCTTCTCTTTAGAGGGACTCCACTTCCCCTTCAGCATTTTGTTTTAAAAATGTATTCTGGGAGGGTATTTTAAAAGTGCAAGAGACTGAGCAAGCATTTAAAAAGTCCTGAGAATTCAAAATGCAGGTTGTTGATTCAGGACATCTAAGACAGATGCATTAGTTAAACTCAAAAATGCATGTGTCTCTCTATTAAATGCATATTAGGCACTATTTGTTGCACTTTTTAATGAAAGAAAGCTTCCATTTTAAACATCCAAGTTAATGTTGAAGTACAGGCTGCAGACAGTGCTGACAACTGCTGTGTTTTGTAATACAACCTTCTCTCCAACAGATCATGGACTTCACTGTGGACGTCACTAGCCCATCAGGATATCACCAGTCCAAAATACAGCCCAGTCAAAAATCTGAGATATTAAATTCCTCTGCATCAGTTTTCTTTTTCAGTCTGTTGTTCTCTTTGGATCTGTGCCTTGCATAATTATTTGAAAAGCTTGGACACAGTCTTCTAAGAACTTGACAGTTAATTGTGATAATTATCAAGTATTGTTCTTGGCATCTGTAATAGTAAAAGCTCTGTTAATAGCAAGAGTTTTGCACATTGATTTTATAGTAAGCTGGTGAAGCGGCACGCAGTTTTTCGCTCCATGAGTGTGACTGAACTATGAACTTGGATAGTAGAATGTTGTAATACAGTAGAATGTAGTAAACACTAAGTGTGTTAGATCACAACTTATTTCTAAATTCTTAGCTTGAGACAACTAAATTTTTAGCTCGAGATAATGATGTTTACTCCACACTATATAAGTTGTACATTCTTAAGTTACGATAAGTTCTTCAGCTCTGGCAAGAGTTCTGACTTGCATGGAGCCTCAGCTCAGGCTACTGTATCCCTAGAATCGGGACACTTTTGGGCCAGGGGAACCATGCGGGGTGGCGGCTGCCGCCTAAAGCTAATGTGAACTAACTGTCTTCTCTGCTCTGTTCTATCACCTGCCTCTGCAAGTATCCTTAAATGAAGCTCTGCAAGAGTGAAAACAACCATGAGTACGCCCTTTGTTCAAGCGCAGAAAATCTTCTGAACCCAGTAGTTCATTCTAAGACAGCATCCTGGCACTTGAGATATGAATTTCCCAATTTACTTTAACTTGAGTTTTCCACATGTAATTTTTTTATTGTATTCCTTAATGAATTCCTGCTTAGGTATTCATCTCATCATTTTTTTGTGACATGCTCTATAAAACCACAGATTTTATGAAAAAAAGAACAACCATAGTATTATCAAGCTGATGAAGAAATTGTATTTGAGATAGCAAATTATCTCATGCTTCTGATTCATCAATAAAATATTACTTCAAAAAGAAACACACCACAGATAGTTACCCCTGTCCGGTAATTATTCTTCTTCATCTACCCACCCAAAAATCCTCCTGAAGATAACATACTGCCAGCTACATCAATCTGCAATATTTACTCATCTGATTGATTATAAGCAAGGTTCCATCATCATATGGAAGATTATATATTTATGCATTAAGTACTCTGCAATGGAGGAGCTGGGGCACTGGAGCCATGATGGTCCAAGGGAATATGGAAGAAGCAAGGATTTTTTAGTGATATCTTTTCCTGGACTATCTGTATAACTGGGAGAAATGTTTGAGACTTTCAGGCACAAAATACCCTTCTTCAGGTGTGGGTACATTACATCCAAATGCTCAGCTTATATCTTTCCCAACAATACAGTTGGTCCCAGGGGTGCAGTGAGCTCCTTCAGCAACCAGGGTAGGTAGAGGAGAGGGGATTCTGCTAAACACTGGAGAGCGGGGGCAAGGGGAGGGGGTAGGAAACAGGTTCTTATCTGTCCCTGCTCCCTGCACTCAAGCAGCAGATGCTACTGCTGTGACTGCTGCCCCTGGGGGACAGGCTCGCTGCAGCAGCCCCACTGTGCAGGCTTCGTAAGAATTGCCCCTAGTGCTCTATTCGCTCCCCCTTCCCCACCCCACTCATTTTGCTACTGGATGCAGGATTATGACTGCCGTGGCAAAGACTCCCCAAGGGAGCACCATTCTGCTCTTCCTCTTTCCCCACAGATACTACTGGGTGAGGAGTTGTACCTGCCTGGCTCCTACAGCCAGGCAGAACAGGGCTACTCCTACCAAGGCAAAGATTCCTGGGGTGTGGAGGCAACTCTCATGCCCCCTTAAAGACAGTGCCTGGGGCTAGTGCTCAGTTCACCCCTGCTTAGTTGGATTACTGGTTAGTCCAATAAAATATATCACCAAACAAACCTTACTTCTCTGTAGTAGGAAACAGCAAAACAGACAAAGCAAAGCGAAACAGAAACAAGAGGTAACAGACAACATTTAAAACAAACAAACAAGGGCAAAAACTAAACCATAACCAAGAAGCAAACATTCCGGGTTTAAAATACAAAACACACACTCAACCTACATCTCGAAGGAAAAGGAAAAAGGGGAACAAGAAAAAGATGTCTGACACATGCATTTCCTGCAGCTTATTTTCATTGTTTCACTACGTTATTTCACTAGTTCAGTGAGGTTGGCAGCCCCCTACAATGGGACCTGGGT